GCTCAGCCCGTTTTCCTCCAAAACGAGCGAGGTCTCGTGGATTGCGTCAAACTGAACGTCGAAGTAAAGCCAAATGGAGCAGTACAACGGGGTTCAACCCATCGTCTTCTGGTGAGATCAACCTAAGAATCTCGTGTCTCTTTGACAACTCGTAAGATGGTACTACGAATGGCGCGACTCACTGACGATGCCGGCAAAACGTCTGGGAATGTACCACATCCACGGTCCTACTCTGGAAATGATGATGCATACAATGGACTCCTGACAAGGTGCGTTCCTCTAAGTCTTCCTACCAACACGATCAAGTTGTGAAAATAAGGTCAAACGACTTCTATACAACGAAAGGAGACTGCGAACACACAAAAGACCACACCATCTTAGTCTTAATACAATTCAAGCAATTTCAGGCGAAATAAAATTCCCCTCAAAAAAATTCTTCATGTGCATTTACAACGTGCACTTCATATTTCTGATGCTTTCCTGCGGTAATTTCGGTAATGGTCTGTCTTGAATGTATCAAAAAGCTGAACCATTCGCTATATGAGGCTCAAAAGCTGAAGATAATAATCATGAATGATATTTTTGCCCAGGGGCAATAACGAATACCACAGTGACTAAGAGCTCTAATAACTCAATTAAATTGAAGTAAGTTCAACAATTAACATCTAGCATACTACAATGTCTAAGAGCTCTTATCATTCCAATGTATAATAATGTATAATAATGTATAAGAAATGGGGGAAAGGGATTTCCAACATAGTACAGCCTCAACTCGAAGAGAGATTGATGCCCATAGTCATTCTATTTTGTTTGAGATTGTGAAGAATGAGAATACGCTTTGAAAAGCAGGGCCGTGTGAAATTCAATGAGAGCATGAGGCCTACTCATCTGCTCGTGGTCAAATTCAATTACCAGTTCTTCATCACCTTAAACAAACTATGATGAATAGGGATCTTATTCAAGGTCTGGTGGTAGTCTTTAAAATAATTTTTTAATCGAAAGAACGATGCCAATGATTCGTGAGCGCTGCTTTGATCGAAATACTCTTCGACAAAGCATACTCTGACTCAATTCTGTCCAGATGGAGTTTTCATCTTTCGGGTGGCAAACATCGTCAGAGCAAAATAACACTCCGTAAAAAACTTAATAAAACCGTCGAATATCAAAAAAAAAAGTTCAGAGGGGAGGAGAGAACAGCTAAAAGTTTGCATTCTTTGTTGCTAATGAAAACTCAACG